CTCTCGCTCATCATTTTTCAACAGTGGCACAGATTCACGGTTTAACTGTGATTTAGCTGCGGCAAAAACATTACGGGTCAGCATAAGGATAACCCTTTAGAAGCCTATAAATGTCTGAATGTAGGGCTCATGCACACTGGGCTTAAAAATGTTCCTTTTACAGGCGTTTGATTTTTTGTGATCTGTAGAAGTACTTCTAAGTTAGCCTTTGGGCTAACTCTGGTGCAGCTGTGCATGGTAGCCAATCAGCTTCTCATTTCAGCTTGTTCAATAATCTTTGATAATAAAAAATGTGTAGCACTACTCCCTCAGTAGTCATCAAGTTTTGGGTCCCCTACAGCTCTGCGCAGCCAGGCAACACGCATTTTCTTCCACACCTGCACACTGAAGTCAGTAAAAAGTCATTGAACTTGGTTGTGATGTTTTACTAGTGAACATGGATGGGGTTTAGGGGTGTATGGGATGCCCAAGGAAACTGTGAAGACAAACTCCTTAGCAACTATGTACAAGTCCATAGACATTCTGTCCTTGAAGAGCTCTCCAGCTCTGGTGTACCACCCCAGACCACAGATGAATCCTCTTCTTCACTCAGCTGCTTCAGGGTATCCCTGGGCAAGGGGACCAAGAAACTGCCAACTTAAGAGACAGTCCCAGATGAGGAGCTAGCTGGGTTCTCCACCTGACTGCCCTCTCCCCCTTGTCTGGCCCAAGGGGGTGTAAGATAAGGTTACTCACACTGTCCTTTGATAACTCAATGTGTAGGGGGCTACCTTCAGGCCTTTTGCTAGGCTGGCTGTTTCCCTTCTGTTCAGGGTGTCCTTCCTGGAAGACAGTGGTACAGTGGAGACTCCCTTGTCCAGCACCAAACTGTAGGTAGGCCCCCTCCCAGGCTCCACACTCCAGCCTTCACTCCATCTTCCAGCTGACACTACTCCCACCTCATACTTAAGGGCTGTCCTGGCCCCATGTCAAGCCTCCTGCTTGGGGATTGGCCAAGATCTCTTTAATATGCAGATCAGCCCCTCTTCACCCCCACTCGCTGCCTTCTAGAAACCTTTCCAGCTTCTAGAGCAGGGGGAGGTATCAGGGAACTGACCTGCAGAGCCCTCAGCCCTGACCTACAATAACCTGGCTGACTCACACCCAGGCTAACTCATCCCAGGCTGCTATCCAGCCTTTACCTTAAAAAAATTAACTAGCTTTCCCTAGCTAAACTCGAGGGGCATCCTGGAGGATGACCTGGAGCTGCACCAGATTTTTCACTCTCTAGTATTAGTAAATTTATGTCCATACACACATAGGCAAGTACAGGCATATTATAAAAGAAGCATTTATAGGCTGACACCTCCCCCTCCCTCCCCCCCACCACCTTTAAAGGTGTGTTCAGGAAAGAAGTAGCTGAACAGCAGAAAAAAAAAAACATTTAACCAGTTAGCATCAATGCATTCCAAAGGCCAGAATAAATTCATATTCAAAGGCTTGATGCACCTAAACTCGCCTTATGTATTTGCAATGTGCATGTAGGCAGGTGCAGTCTATTTTCTCCACTACAGGTGGTGCTTGTCCACAGCGGCAATGCAGATGGGGGAGGAAGTCGAGGGGAAACGAGTTCCTCTATGGTTTCCTCGGTCATAGGGAGGCAGCTATCCAATTGGATGCTAACACCCTATGTGACTGTGGCAGCCATCTTGGATCAGGCAGAGTTTTATTAAGACCCTGGATTCTGGGTTTGGTGTGCATTTTGCAAGTTGCTAGAGTAGGGACAGGTCGCCTGTCTGTCAGAAACCATTCATAGTGTCCGGGAAAGGTTCCAGGAGGAGGGAAAGTGCAGGGACACCCTGTGCAAGAGGCATGCCGTGAATTGCAACAGTTGCTCGTATTGTGGATGGTGTCATAAATGATCACATGTGCAGCACCATGGCAAACATAGATCAGAGGTTAAGATGGTGGAAGGAATAGTGTCCTATTGTTGGTGTCAGTGGGAGGGAAATAATGCCCCATCAATGGTGTGGGAGGAATAGTGCCCCATCAATGGTGTCAGTGGGAGGAATAGTGCCTAATCAATGGTGTCAGTGGGAGGAATAGTGCCCCATAAATGGTGTCAGTAGGGAGGAATAGTGCCCAATCGTTGGTGTCAGTGGGAGGAATAGTATCCTATCATTGGTGTCAGTTTGAGGAATAGTGCCCTACTGTTGGTATCATTGGGGGGAAATAGTGCCCCGTCATTGGTGTTCAAGCCAGGAATAGTGCCTCATCAATGGTGTCAGTGGGAGGAATAGTGCCCCATTGTTGGTGTTGGTGGCAGGAATAGTGCCTCATCAATGGTGTCAATGGGAGGAATAGTGCCCCATTGTTGGCGTCAGTGAGAGGAATAGTGCCCTATTGTTGGTGTCAGTGGAAGAAATGGTGCACCATTGTTGATGTCAGTAGCAGTAATTATGCCCCATTGTTGGTGGGAGGAAAGGAATAGTGCTTTGTGTCAGTGAGAGGAAAAGTGCCCGACAGTCAGATAAAGGCAAGCAAAGGGCCACATCCGGCCCCCGGGCTGCAGTTCGGAGGCCACTGGCCTAAATTTTTTTTTTTTTTTTAATTGGTTATGTTTTATAGCAAAAAGTCAAAATTATTGGTTTTTTTTTTTCAGAATTGTCAGTCTTTTTTTGTTTAAAGCGCAAACAAAAAAAAAAAGGCAGAGGTGATCAAATACCAATGAAAGAAAGCTCTATTTGTGAAAAAAGAATGCCATAAATTCATATACAGCGTTGCATGACCGCACAATTGTCAGTTAAAGTAACGCAGCGCCGTATTGCAAAAAATAACCTGGTCAGGAAGGGGGGGGGGGGGGTGAATCTTCTGGAGGGCAAGTGGTTAACCCAATGAGCTGCCTTAGCCTTAATGCACATCAATCCATGAAAATACCTGTCAATGTATGCAAGTTATGGCATGAATGGGGGTTTTAGTTGCTTTAATGAAAGTAATTTATTATGAAAGTCCATTTTTTTTTTCTCAGTTGAAAGCCTATAATAAGCTTACATGTGCTATTATTATTGTGAGGTTTGATGTCTGCAGGCAGAATTAGAACAATTTCCATGTGGATTTGAATTGGTAAAATATTTACTTTTTTCACAATCTCTTAAGCAATTATCAGGAAATGCTCTATTAGCCGTCATACGAGCAAACAGCTGGACATACTCCCAGCAGGAAGATGAAATAATTGCTCTGACCTTATCTCTGAAAATGAGTAGATTAGCAGATTAATTTACTAAAGATGTAATCGTTTTCTTTTCCAGGTAGAAGTGCCGGAAACCTGAGAATGTGAGAGAGCCACGACAGAGCCATGATCTGTGATAATGAGGAAAACAATTCAAAACTCATGTGATACATTGTGAGGCTCAGGGATGCCAAGGCTATATATGAGGTGGTAACAAAATGTTTCGAGACTAGTTTTGTGATGCACCAAGAGATGGCAGCACAAGGCTGTACGCACGGTCATAGGGACCTTCATGAGTCAGTGTGTCAAAAGACATCGTCCTGTGTACATCGGGTGCTGTGCAACTGGTGTTATTGTGCCCACATACGTTGCCACCAGGGGCGGACTGACAACTCATGGGGCCCCCGGGCAATAAGGGATCATGGGGCCCCTGTGTCCTCACCCACACCCAAAGCCTATGAAAAAGGTACCAGAGGCATCTCATGGGGCCCCCTACTGACCCAGGGCCCTTGGGCAGTGCCCGAGTTCCCAAATGGTCAGTCCGCCCTTGGTTATCACATCTGCTGTTTCATCATAGACAGCAAGTTAGAACAAAGAGCAAACATGAAATTCTGCATGAAACCCGTACACCCAAGTTTCATCTCCAGTAATGATCCTCGACACACACAAGTGCCGAATGGTTTTGACATTCTAGGGCGTTGAGCTCGTTGAAGGTCTTCTTGATCTCTCGTCATCTCCCAGTGATGTTCTTCCACTCTCGAATTGCGAGTGACACTCAAAACACCTCAAACAACTCATTACAGCTTTGTCGTAAACTTGCTGAATCATGTCAGACATCTCTGTGGCAGATTTTCCCAGTTTCACGCAGAATTTAATGTTTGTGCTTTGTTCTAACTTGCTGTCCATGATGAAATAGAAGACGTGGTAATGCACGTGGTCTGAATAGCACCAGTTGCACAGCTCCTGTTTTTTGGCACACTGACTTATGAAGGATGGTGCTCTCTGTGACTGTGTGTGCAGCCTTGTGCTGCCATCTGTTGGTGAGGTACAAAACTTTAAACTTTTTGATATCACCTCATACAATGTAACAAGTCAACATGGTGGCCATTGGGCACATAATTCTGTTCTAACATTAATTTTTAAAAAAAACTACTCCTTGCTCTTTATGAACTTTTTTTTTCACCATCCCACCAAAAATGCATGTCTGAGTTTTTTGTATACAGTAGAGAGAGAAAGTGTTAAAGATTTCCAGTTATGGGTATTTTATACATACTATACATTGTAACTATGGATATGTATGCATAGCACCCTCCTAGTATAGAGTAGGCTGCTGGGTAAATTTAGATAGGCTCACCTGTAATCAGAGGAGCAGGATTGATTGATTAATTGATTGATTAGAGCTGTTTAGTGTTTAACAGGCTGCTGCTCTGATTTCTCCCCCATCTTTAGATGATTCTAGAAACATTGTGGGAGGAAGGACAGAGTGGACGTCCTGAATATTTATGGAACGTTAGCAAATCCCTGGGGAGGAATGCCCAGAAGGTGGTGAGAGAGCCTATAAATAGCCTGAGCCCTGAGCAGCAGGGTGTAGTGTTCCTAGGTCCAGGCCTGCAGGAGGAGACCCCTGTGCAGGGGCTTTACCCCTGGTGCAGGTTTCAAGAAGAAGTCATCAGGAAGACACTGAGGTCTCAGCTAAGCTTAGGGGCCTATTTGCAAGTACGAGTCTGGTGATCAAGTCGGGTCTGTAGAAGCTCATTGGAAAAAGCCAGGAAGAAGTTGTTGGAAAAGAGGCTATCTGTCCTATAGTGGTGTTAGCCTGGAATGTTTATTTTATTTTGCTCCATGTGTTAAAGTGTTACTAAACCCAGGACCCTGCATTCACTATATCTGGTCTCCCCGGACCCTGCATTCACTATATCTGGTCTCCCCGGACCCTGCATTCACTATATCTGGTCTCCCCGGACCCTGCATTCACTATATCCGGTCTCCCCGGACCCTGCATTCACTATATCCGGTCTCCCCGGACCCTGCATTCACTATATCCGGTCTCCCCGGACCCTGCATTCACTATATCCGGTCTCCCCGGACCCTGCATTCACTATATCCGGTCTCCCCGGACCCTGCATTCACTATATCTGTCTCCCCGGACCCTGCATTCACTATATCTGGTCTCCCCGGACCCTGCATTCACTATATCTGGTCTCCCCGGACCCTGCATTCACTATATCCGGTCTCCCCGGATTCCTGTATTCACTATTCACTATATCGGTCTCCCCGGACCCTGCATTCACTATATCCGGTCTTCACTATATCCCCGGACCCTGCATTCACTATATCTGGTCTCCCCCGGACCCTGCATTCACTATATCTGGTCTCCCCAGATCCTGCATTCACTATATCCGATCTCCCCGGACCCTGCATTCACTATATCTGGTCTCCCCGGACCCTACATTCACTATATCCGGTCTCCCCGGACCCTGCATTCACTATATCTGGTCTCCCACAGTACACAGCACACGGAAGTGCAAATATTTTAGTAAATATAAACTGCTAATTACCTTTTCTCATCAGCAGTATATAGCAGTCTTGTGGCTTATATCAGTGTCCAGCCCCGCACTAACTAAAGCTTGTAGGAGAAGTTTTCTTTCTGCTCTATGAGGATGCATAACCCCTGCCCTATGTCTGGACAGTGCTGATTGGCCCTGTGCTGATCACATGCACTCTCCCAAGAATAAAACAAACCTCTCTAGCATACACATTAAACTGAGTATGTGCAGAATGGCTACGGTTCAGTCTGTCTTATCAGGAGATACGCTGTGGACATTTGAACAAGAGGAGGAGCAGAGAAGTCAGGATCACACTGCCTTCTTACACAATGCAGATGATTAACCCCTCAGATTCCACAGTGAGTATAACAAGCATGCTTTACTGCATATACAGACTGCTTTTACTGTTGTGGGTTTAGTAACAATTTAAGCTAACAAAGTTTTCATACTACTTTAACCAATAATGGATATGTTCTCTTTACAAAATCCTGATATTCATCTTGTTCACCATATTGCAAAACCCTGTTTTTGCCATTTTCTTCATCTTCTGAATCAGATTAGTGTGTTTTACTATTTTGATCCCTAGCCTTTCCGCAAGCCAACTCACTCCCACATACTGAAATCATAGAGGAGGTTGCATAGTACAGAAATGTAACAAGACTGCAGACCTTCCAAAAGGCAAAGTCTGATGAGTCTAACTGAAAAAAATTTAAAACTCAGGTTAGTCCCTTTAGATTAATGTTCTCTTACACAATTCCGCATTCAAAATGGAATGTTAACCTTCATTTGCTTTTGCACGCTGCTCAAAAAGTGCCCACACTGTCAAGGACAAATGCCTGGGCAGCGTGGTTCCTGATCATGTGATCACCATATTTGCTTTCAGATGGTGAGCACATTGCTTTGTTTGTAAACAGTTGTCACCGACAATGACTCCAGGTATAGACTCCAGAGAGAGAGAGAGAGAGATCATATTTTCCCCGGTACAAATCATTAGTAATACCTCATCTGGAATATGCAGTTCAGTTTTGGGCATCAATTCACAAAAAGAACATTGCGGAACTGGAGAAAGTGCAGAGAATGGCAACCAAACTGATAAGAGGCATGGAGGAGCTCAGCTATGAGGAAAGATTAGAGGAGCTGAATTTATTCTCTCTTGAGAAGAGGAGATTAAGGGGGGATATGATCACCATGTATAATACATAAGGGGGGATATGATCTCCATGTATAATACATAAGGGGGGATATGATCTCCATGTATAATACATAAGGGGGATATGATCTCCATGTATAATACATAAAGGGGGGGGATATGATCTCCATGTATAATACATAAGGGGGGATATGATCTCCATGTATAATACATAAGGGGGATATGATCTCCATGTATAATACATAAGGGGGATATGATCTCCATGTATAATACATAAGGGGGGGATATGATCTCCATGTATAATACATAAGGGGGGGATATGATTACCATGTATAATACATAAGGGGGGATATGATCACCATGTATAATACATAAGGGGGGATATGATCTCCATGTATAATACATAAGGGGGGGGATATGATCACCATGTATAATACATAAGGGGGGATATGATCTCCATGTATAATACATAAGGGGGGGGGGGATATGATCTCCATGTATAATAAATAAGGGGGATATGATCTCCATGTATAATACATAAGGGGGGATATGATCTCCATGTATAATACATAAGGGGGGGTATGATCACCATGTATAATACATAAGGGGGGGTATGATCTCCATGTATAATACATAAGGGGGGATATGATCTCCATGTATAATACATAAGGGGGGATATGATCACCATGTGTATAATACATAAGGGGGGATATGATCTCCATGTATAATACATAAGGGGGATATGATCTCCATGTATAATACATAAGGGGGGATATGATCTCCATGTATAATACATAAGGGGGGATATGATCTCCATGTATAATACATAAGGGGGATATGATCTCCATGTACAATACATAAGGGGGGATATGATCTCCATGTATAATACATAAGGGGGATATGATCTCCATGTATAATACATAAGGGGGCACTCTTTACATCTGGAGGAAAAGAAATTTGATCTCCAAACACGGAAAGGTTTCTTCACAGTGAGAGCTGTGAAAATGTGGAATAGACTCCATCAAGAGTTGCTCTGGCCAGCTCAGTGGATTGCTTCAAAAACGTCCTGGATTATTTCTTGGATACACAGAATATAACTGGATATAACATTTATAGGTAAAGTTGATCCAGGGAATATCCGATTGCCTCTCGGGGGATCAGGAAGTAATTTTTTTCCCCTGCAGGAGCAAATTGGATCATGCTTTGCTGGGTTTTTTGCCTTCCTCTGGATCAACTGTGGGTGTAGGATTCTAATTTTTTTTTTTTTTCTATGGCTGAACTGGATGGACGTTTGTCTTTTTTCAGCCAGACTAACTATGTAACTATGACATCTGCCAGAGTATTCTTTTCTGTGAGCGTGTGCTGTGCAAATAGAAGTATATACTGTTCATAAAGCAGACAGTGCGGCAACCTAAAATAAATAAATTAAATAATATAGGTTTAGAATAATATACATTTTACAGATACATAAATAAGATAGATTTTTCCCCAAAAATTATAATCAGGATTTTTTTGGACTCAAATAAATACCTTATAAAGCCTTAACAAAAATCAATGCAAAACTATTTACAGTTGCGCTCAAAATGTTGCATACCCTGGCGGAAATCATGAAATGTTGGCATTTATGTTGAAAATATAACTGATCTTTTATTTAAGTATTTTGAAAATGTCTAGTTAGGTTTGTTGGCTTTTCAGGTAAGTTTGCAAAACTGAAGTCCGCTGACCTCCTATCTCTACACAGTTTAGACCCGATGTCTCCAAACTTTCTAAACATAGGGCCAGTTTACTGTCAATCAGACTTTTGGGGGGCCGGACTGTAGGCCATTGGGAGTAGAAATTGTCCTGGCATCAGTGGGAGTAAACAACGCATCTTTGGTATTAGAAGGAGGAATAGCGCCCCTTCATTGGTGTAAGTGGGAGGAATAGTGTCCAATTGTTGGTGTCAGTGTGAGAAAGAATACCCTGTTGTGTCAGTGGGAGGAATAGTGTCCCATCAATGGTGTCAGTTTGAGGAATAGTGTCCTATCATTTGTGTCATTGGGGGAAATAGTGCCCCATTGTTGGTGTTGATGGCAGGAATAAAGCCCCATCAATGGTGTCAGTGGGAAGAATAGTGCCCCATCATTAGTGTCAGTGAGAGGAATAGTGCCTCATCAATGGTGTCAGTGGGAAGAATAGTGTCCCATCATTGGTGTCAGTTTCAGGAATAGTGTCCTATTGTTGGTGTCATTGGGGGAAAATAGTGCCTCATCATTGGTGTTGATGGCAGGAATCGTGCCCCATCATTGGTGTCAGTGGGAGGAATGGTGCCCATCGTTGTCGTCAGTGGGAGGAAATAGTGCCCATCGTTGTGTGTTGGTGGCAGGAATAGTGCCTCATCAATGGTGTCAGTGGGAGGAATAGTGCCCAATCGTTGGTGTCAGTGGGAGAATAGTGTCCCATCATTGGTGTCAGTTTCAGGAATAGTGGCCTATTGTTGGTGTCATTGGGGGAAATAGTGCTTCATCGTTGGTGTTGATGGCAGGAATAGTGCCCCATCATTGGTGTCAATGGGAAGAATAGTGCCCCATCATTGTTGTCAGTGGGAGGAATAGTGCCTCATTGTTGGTGTTGGTGGCAGGAATAGTGCTCCATCAATGGTGTCAGTGCAAGAAATAGTGTCCCATTGTTGGTGTCAGTGCGAGGAATAGTGCCCCATTGTTGGTGTCAGTGGGAGGAATAGTTCCCCATTGTTGGTGTCAGTGGGAGGAATAGTGCCCCATTGTTGGTGTCAGTGGGAGGAATAGTGCCCCATTGTTGGCGTCAGTGGGAGGAATAGTGCCCCATCTTTGGTATTAGTGGGAGGAATAGTGCCCCATTGTTGGCGTCAGTGGAAGGAATAGTACCCCATCGTTGTCGTCAGTGGGAGAAATAGTGCCCAGCGTTGACGTCACTGGGAGCAATAGTGCCCCATCATTGGAGTCAGTGGGAGGAATAGTGCTCCATCAATGGTGTCAGTGGAAGGAATAGTGCCCCATCGTTGGAATCAGTGGGAGGAATAGTGCTCCATCAATGGTGTCAGTGGAAAAAAATAGTGCCCCATTGTTGGCGTCAGTGGGAGGAGTAGTGCCCCATTGTTGGCAACAGTGGGAGGAATAGTGCCCCATCGTTGGTGTTGGTGGTAGGAATAGTGCTCCATCAATAGTGTCAGTGGGAGGAATAGTGCCCCATTGTTGGTGTCAATGGGAAAAATAGTGCCTCATTGTGGACGTCAGTAGCAGTAATTATGCCCCATTGGTGGGAGGAAAGGAATAGTGCCTTGCATCAGTGGGAGGAAAAGTCCCCCGAGGGCTGGATAAAGGCAAGCAAAGTGCCACATGCAGCCCCCCGGGCCACAGTTTGGAGACCACTGGTTTAGAATGATTGCAGAATATAGTCATTATTGCAGTATGTTTGTGCCTGTCATTAGAAATGCTGGCTTCTTGCCGGGAACTTTTTACTTTCTGTGCCATCCTGGTAATTAAGGCAGTAAAAGTACATTTATTAACTTGCAAGAGCTAAGAGTTGCTGTTAATTTCAGCAGTGAAAATATTTCCTGTTAGGAATGAGTGTTTAATTTGCATTGAGGGTTTAGCAAATTAGTCATGTTTATGTAAGATATTAAAGGAAAC